TGTTTCCATAAGTCTAAGAGGCTGTCAATGTAATGCTAAAAGCTTTTCACATAAAAACATAACGTTAAACGTACACAATGAAGTTTTGTTGTGTTGTGCTTTTACTAATGGAATATAGAACATTTATTTATAACATAACCTCTTTATTCTTCTGGATATCAACGTACATTTGAATCCAGGCCTTGATGCTCAGAGGCTGAGCATCTCTGGCCACCTTTCAGCCATGACATGAAATTCTTCACAATCTGCTGGGGATTATTTTATTCCCTTTGGGATTTACAGTATTTTTTTATCCCCTTTGGGATTTACAGTATGATTTAGAGCAGAACAAAAACACAGATTCTTTCTGCATCTCCTATTTTGTTAAACTTGTCATTTCTCCTCTTAATTGGATCAACTATCTTCTGATAGACTGAGAAATACTCTTTTGTGGTGCATGGCAGTCCCATGACCCTCCCTAGGTTTGGAAGTCCTGTGATCTATGCTTAGAGAATTGCCTAAATCTGCGCATGTGCCAGCACTGACATTCCAATTTCTTCCTCTGTCTGGTGACTGGCAAGGTTGTTATCGTTTTAAGTATTGGTTATAAGATGAGACCCTATTACTTTTAAAAAAAAATTAAGTGTATCTTGGGTTTAGTTTGCGAAACTTAAGGTGATAGATGTTGAACAGTTTGCCTCTGTATCTTGGGTTTAGTTTGCGAAACTCAAGGTGATAGATGTTGAACAGTTTGCCTCTGTATCTTGGGTTTAGTTTGCGAAACTCAAGGTGATAGATGTTGAACAGTTTGCCTCCCATGCATAGCGGGCAGGTGGTAACCAGGAATCCAGACCGAGCTTACCTCGTACTTCTCTACGTTCAAGGCTGCAATCACTTCCTCTTTCTCTCTTGAACCCTCTCCAGTTGGGCCTTTCTTCCCAGCACTCCACCAAAACTGCTCTTGTCAAGGTTACCAGTGACCTCCATGTGGCCAAATCTGTGGACTAGTTCTCAGTTGTCACCTTACTTCAGCCACGTGACACCATCCTTACGAAACAGTTTCTTTACTTGGGTCTCTCCTCCATCACCATCAGAACCTTCTTGGTTCCTCTCTCTCGTTCCCCATCCCCTGCCTGCCCCTGATGATGGAGTACTCCACAAAATTGCTCCCTCGTGACCTCCTGTCGTGTCCTAGCTGGCTTCTGTGCACTAACAACTTTTACGTGTACATCGATCTGCAGCTCCTGCAGCTTCCCACACACCCTCCTGACTACTCTAGTCACTTCTTGGGTGCCTAATAGGCTTTGCAAACTTCATGACTTAAACCAAACTCCTATCCTCCACCTCCCCCTAAACTGGCTCTTCTTGTGAAGGTCTTTTGCATCTCAATAAAGGCAACTTTCTACTTCTAGTGGCTTGGATAAAAACACTGAAGTCATCCTTGTCTCCTCTGTTTCTCTCACTCCCTACATCCAGTCCTTTAGCATATCCTATCAGCTCCACCTTAAAATTACATCCAAAACTTAATCTGCAGCTGCCACCCTGGTTCATCAGCCCACCTGGCCCCTCGACAGCCACTTCAGTGCCCAGCAGCCAGAGTGACTTCCCCTCTGAGTCAGATGTAGGTGTGGGCTGCTTAGAGCCATCCAGGAGCTGCCTGCCTCACTCAGGGCAAAGCCAAACCCAGCTGCCCTGGCTCCATCTTGCCTGGTGCCTGTGAGCTCCCTGACTTCTACGTCTCCTCCACCCACCATGCAGATGATTCTCCAGCGCTGCTTAGAGCCATCCGGGGGGCTGCCTGCCTCATTCAGGGCAAAGTCAAACCCAGCTGCCCTGGCTCCATCTTGCCCGGTGCCTGTGAGCTCCCTGACTTCTACGTCTCCTCCACCCACCATGCAGATGATTCTCCAGCCAGGCTGGTCTCAGTGCTGGTCTCATGAAGACAAGCTCACTCCACCTTGGGGACTCAGGCATTTGCACTTGGGGCTTCTTCTGCTAAGCTCTGTCTCCCCAGATGTCTACAGGGCTTGCTCCCTCATTTTCTTGAGGTCTTTTCAAATGCTACACAAACACACAGGCCTCCCTGTACTCCCTGTAGAAGACAACCCCCTCTCCGAATCTGTGCCTCTTGCTCCACACTAGTTTCCTCCTAGCACATGCATGGGACCCCAGTGCTTAAGACAGAGCCTTGCCCACAGTTGGCCCTCTGTGAATGTTTGTTGAATTAGGGGACAAAGGAAAAGTGAATGGTGGGCTTAAAAGCAGAGACAGAGCAGGGCTTCTGATATACATTTCTCTCCTGCCCTGATCCCGCAGTCAGAATAGCTACTCTTTAAGTCACTGTCGGAGACTATGCAGTGACTGGCCCTGTCCCAGGCTGCCTTCTGTCTTGTGTCTCCTTCCAGGTCTACAGCTCTCCCAGGCTCTGTGAGCATTTTGCTATGACTGCTGTCCCCTCGTGGAGCCAGGACTGCCCGCTGCTACCACAGCCACGCCAGACTCCCACCCTGCCCTGCCCGCCCTTGGCCCCAAGTCACCATGGGCAGCGTCAGCAGCCTCCTCTCTGGCCACAGCTTCCACGGCAAGCACTGCCGGGCTTCCCAGTACAAGCTGCGCAAATCCTCCCACCTCAAGAAACTCAACCGGTACTCTGATGGGCTGCTGAGATTCGGCTTCTCACAGGATTCAGGTCATGGCAAGTCCAGCTCCAAAATGGGCAAGAGTGAAGACTTCTTCTACATCAAGGTCAGCCAGAAGGCCCGGGGCTCCCACCGCCCAGATTACACAGCACTGTCCAGTGGTGACCTAAGGGGCCAGGCTGGAGTGGACTTTGACCCGTCCACCCCACCCAAGCTCATGCCCTTCACCAATCAGCTAGAAATGGTAAGCTGGGGGTCTCTGGCAAGGGTGAGGGGTCAGAAAGGCAGGAGAGAGCACATGGGGGTGCAGAGGGGAAGGGGAAGGAGGGGACAGTCATGACCCGAAGTGTTAATCCCCATGAGGCCAGAGCAGCAGAGGTGAGGGTGGAAGGAGATCAAAGGTTGGACAAGGGAATTAAAGCACTGGTCAGCCCCTTAGGCAAAGAGCAAAGAGACATGCACATCTTCCTGTGCTCGATGGGATGCGGCTAGGTTGTTGGGCATGTTGAAAGGCGTGGGAAGGAGCGGGAGTTCTGCTATGGTCTGCAAGTGCAGATGGAGAGGAGCTTGGAGGGCGAGCAGCTTCCCTCTAGCAGAGCCCTGCAGGTAGGTGGGTCTTCTCATCTGCTGTCCTGGTGGCGCAGGAGCTCCTCTCCTTGCTCACGCCACCCCCGGAGGCATCGTTGGCTGAATAAGGGCTGGGATTTTGTTATCATCATCAGTTCAGCTGGGGTGAGAGCAACAGAATCCTGGGTACTCGGAAGTCCAGGCCCTGCCTGCTTAAGCAGCTCGAGCACTCTTGAGTCCCGCCAGGGGACACGGAAAACAATTTTCCACTCAGTCCCCTGCTGCCACCCTGGGGGCATGGATCCAGGGCATTGATATTTTAGGAAAGGGCTCCTGAGTTTGCATAGAGCTTTCAGCTTTTCAAACTAAAGGGCTTGCAAACTGCAAAGTACTCTACAATGAAAATTACAGATAAAAAGGGGTTGTTATTTTAAGTGATCCTCCCAACCCTGTGAGGAGGCCGGTCAGTATCCTCGCTCCAGGCTTAATGGAAGAGGCAGCAAAGGTGAAGAAAGGATAAGAAGGGATCAATCTGTGCAAGGACACAAGCTTGTCCAGCCTAATGCCCTTACCTACACCACATAGAGACCCGGAGAAGGATCCCTGGCCTTGGCATCTCAGCCAGGGAAGTAAAAATAGTGTTTGTCATCTCAGGAGGGCTGGGACAAGCTACGGCCAGGTTGTTATTTCATAGAACAAAGTGCCCAGGGCATCATGAGGGACACCCCCAGGTACGGAGGATTTTCTTCTCCTTAAGGGAGATTCACATCATTTGGCTGCTTCAGAACAACAGGTGAGGTCTGCCATGCGGCTGCCGATCAGGAAGGCAGAGCTCCCAGGCTGGCACACATCCCACTGGGAAGGGCACGGCGGAGGATTTTCTTCTCCTTAAGGGAGATTCACATCATTTGGCTGCTTCAGAACAACAGGTGAGGTCTGCCATGTGGCTGCCGATCAGGAAGGCAGAGCTCCCAGGCTGGCACACATCCCACTGGGAAGGGCACGGCGGGTGAGTGTGCAGGGAAACTTGGTCAATATGGTTCTTTGCTTCCCCAGGGCTCAGAGAAGGGTGCAGGGAGGCCGACAGCCTTCAAGCCTGTGCTGCCGCGGTCGGGAACCATCCTGCACTCCTCCCCTGAGAGTGCAGGGCACCAGCTGCACCCCGCCCCTCCCGACAAGCCCCGGGAGCAGGAGCTGAAGCCCAGCCTGTGCTCTGGGGCGCTGTCGGACTCCGGCCGCAACTCCATGTCCAGCCTGCCCACGCACAGCACCAGCAGCAGCTACCAGCTGGACCCAGTGGTCACCCCCATGGGACCCTCCAGCCGCTTTGGGGGCTCAGCCCACAACATCATGCAGGGCATCGTCCCCCAGGACAGCAACATGATGAGCCTGAAGGCTCTGTCTTTCTCCGACGGGGGCAGCAAGCTGGCCCACCCGGGCAAGACGGATAAGGGCGCCTCGTGTGTCCGCTCCCCCATCTCCACGGATGAGTGCACCATCCAGGAGCTGGAGCAGAAGCTTCTGGAGAGGGAGGACGCATTGCAGAAGGTGCAGCGCAGCTTCGAGGAGAAGGAGCTCACCTCTAGCCAGGCCTGCGAGGAGCGCCAGCGTTGCGGCAGGGATGAGCCAGAGGGCCCAGAGTCCAGGTGCCCCAGCAAGCTGAAGCAGGCCTCGCAGAAGAGCCAGCGCGCTCAGCAGCTGCTGCATCTGCAGGTCCTGCAGCTCCAGCAGGAGAAGCGGCAGCTCCGGCAGGAGCTCGAGAGCCTCATGAAGGAACAGGACCTGCTGGAGACCAAGCTCAGGTCCTATGAGCGGGAGAAGACCAGCTTTGCTCCTGCGCTGGAGGAGACCCAGTGGGAGGTGAGGCTGGCGCATGGTCCTGGGCTGGGGGCGGTCAGGTGTCTGGCACCAGGCCCCTCCCCTCCTCCTGGCACTGGCCAGTGGTGTGCGAAGACAAAGTGCTGGGCAATCGGAGCTAAAGGGCAGCTCTGTGACCCAAAGAAGGGGCTCCCTGCCAGGCCATGTCGGGTGCACTTAGGTCTGAGCTTCCTCCTCTCTCCCCACCATCACCCTCGTGGCCCCAGAACTGAATTTATCAAACGAGTCATTGGCCAAGAAGCCAGAATCCAGAGAACCAAGGCCTGATTGGGCCATCTGAGGGCCAGCCTCGCGTCATCTGCTCACAGAGGCTTAGATTCGCACATGCTGTGCCTGAGTCCATGCAGGTCCCTAAGTCCATGAGAGCTAGAATCTGTTTATGGCTTCTGAGGGAAGGGACCCCACCCACTAGTC